GCTTCACTAGAACTTTAAAAGAGGACGGGGATTTTCTCTTAGAGCTGGCTTGAACACTTTCAGAGGACCAGAAAGAAGAACAGACTTTCTTCAGAGTGTTTCCAGGTCAGTAAAGATATCAGCAAAGGGCTTTTGTAGAAAAGAACAGTCATCAAATTAAAGGCTCAGTTATTGGCATTAGTCTACTTAGATTTCAAACAGAGATCTGCTCATGAACTCTTGAATCCCGTTTTCAAAGATTGTTTAAATCCTTCCAAAATTACCTAAAGCTATCAACACAATGTAAAACATCAATACTGTGCTCGAGAGATATCAGATGGAGTTGAGCCGTCTTTGTAGTGAGACAGTGTAGCCTTTATTTAACCAGGTGAGTCACTCAAAGCATATTCGTATTTACAAGGACAGCCAGGGAATGGCAAAGCCTCAAGAGTTTACAAGAAACGTACTCTAGTTGTTGCCCCTGATCATGGACGTTTCAGTTCAAGTTTACAAAGGTAATTAGTTTATTTAGGATTCATCAGTAAAACAGGAGGCCCAGCTTTGAGACAAATCCATTTTTTTATGCTTTGAGAAGCTTCCTGAAAGCTCAAACCTGCAGGGTTTGCTACTGGAGGCATCCTGTTAACAGCGTTGTAGTTTGTGCAATGCCAGCCTACAGCTCCAGGGTGATATTACTTGGTGGACACTGCTTGGCGACCTTATCCTGACATATCCAGCTCTCGCAAACTGATATTCAGTATTTGCTGCAGTGGAAAAAAGAAGCTTTTGTCAGAGTGTTGCTTCAGTGAATCTGGACCTCAGACTTTGGTTTGCACTGAGCACAAAAACACATTCAAACACTGCAATCACTGGGACAGTTGGCTGCTCAGAAGTTTGTTCACCTGAAACAAACAATGAAGCAATTACAGCAGCAAAACAAAGAGCAGCTTTGTCCCTGAACAGTCTGTACGAGGGGAAGTAACAAAGCCTTCGAAATAAAATCTGTCTGCTTTATGATCTTTCCTGCTCTGATATGATAAACTGTTCAAAGTCTGAGCAAATTAAACACCATCTTTGCTCCAAGCTGTGGGTCAGACCATGTGGTGCTACTGAGGGGTTTGGAAGAGTCCATTTTATGAAGGGAGGGGGGTGTTTAAAACACAAACTGAGAATCTCTGCTCCTTTTTGCCTTCTTTCCCCTGTTTGAAAACCAAAAGCTGCTTCATCATCCTCGAAACAAAACGACAAACACCCACACGGAGGAAATGCACAGAAAACCAGAGGTTTCATTGTTCTCTATTATTGCTATTCTTGCTATTAACTGTGTGATAAATGCAATACAACAGTTGTGTAAACAGGCAGTGAGTGATGTTGTATCTTATTTACAGTATGAGGATAATAAAAATGATGCTTTTTGGGGTTTTTTTTATTATTATTATTTTCCCGCCGTCATGGGTTTGGTTTTTCCAGGCATCTTCTCACTGCTTAAACCACAGTCGTCCCATTTACACCGTCACTGGTTTCACAGCGGGCGGCGAACTGGTTTGCAGATTTC